TGTAAACCTGAGCCAGCCCTAACTGTAAACCTGAGCCAGCCCTAACTCATTACCTCTCAACACTCAAAACATCCCACATATGAATATATATTTGTATGTTGTTAGTATTCATTGACTAAAACCCACATACATCAGACATAAAACTCTACGTCTTTCAAAATGTACACTTTATTGTCAACAACGTAGAAAAGCAGAAGTCTGTATTTACAACACTACTATGGCCTTCTCATCTCACCATCTTTGGTTTCACTGTTGACCTGTTTATTTGAAAAGGAACAAAAGGCATGAGGACTAGGTGCTTAAAGTGTTGATCGCAACCATCCCACAATATGATTCCGCCGCTGTCATGCTGTGTGGGGAGGTGCTCTACATTGGTAACTTCTACAGTTAAACAAAAAGTAAGAGAATGGAATGTCATCCGTTTGCTTCACTTTGGCAAGACAAACAAAAGATCAACTGGTGCGTGGTTCCTTCAAGTTAACGTTTAGTGTTTTATGATCAGCCAACATTATCTGCATCTGAAGCTCATGACAAAGTCAACTTAAAATACTGTAATTGGTACTTTTCTTCCAGTCTACAAACAGTTCCACGTGTCCATCCTTAAATTACAAGGAAGTTGCTGCCAGATGACGACTCAAATATGTTATGAGTCTGGCTATTGGTGACAGTATATATTCAGGGTGGAAAATGGTTATTTATCAGAACAACTTGAGTCATTATGAATGTATTCAGCAAGTTTACATGATGTGAACTGAGCTATAAATGTTACCAATGAACCGATGTTCTTCCACTGTCTTAACCCTTTGTCCTTGGCGGGTCATTGGGGTGTTGCATTGTGGGATGTATTGATTAATTGATTGACAGAGAGCCACCATCTGATCTGCCAATCATAACCACCGTCTTCAGTATGAGTTATCCTTCACATCACTGAGCTAAAAATGACAAAATAATAATAACACAGCAGAGAATAAGCACAGATACTGTATAACCTTATTCACGTTCATGTAACTCCCAAACCTTTCCAACACTTGATGCTGCAGCATCGCCATCCAGGGAGGGAGCACACAGAATATAAATACATCAAAAACACAACAACAGATTTCAGACCTGGCATTAAGTAAAGCTCATCAAAAATTAAAGCATGAACAAAAAAATGGTACAGGAACTATAGAGGTGAAGACATGAAGATAACAATGTAGTGTATTCAACTAAATCAGCTGAAACTATTAAAAGAAAGCAAAAAGCAAAAAACATGTTTGCATTTCGTACATTTTGTTTCACCTCTCTGAGGACGTCTTGCCTTTTCAGATAAAACTATTTGCAACATAAAGGAATTCAAAAAGGTCTCTCTTGAGATGGAGAAAAGGTGGTCAGAAATGACATAAGTTACATAAACAACTAATCAGTGGTTGTGTGTGTCATAATGCTTCATTTGAAGGTGTCTTATTTACAGCTACACAAATGAAATTTAAGATTGATACCATTTTGTTTTGGTCACAGTTAAAATAAACTGCACATATGTATAGAAATCATTCATATTACATCAACATATGTAGGAGTCTTTGTGTAGATGAACTAGACAGACAGGGCTCGGAGGGTAAGAGATGTTTCAGCAGGTTAAACAGCAGTCAGCTGTTGTTTTCTCTGAGCACAGCCAAACAAAGGCTTTTCACACACAGCGCACAAAACGTAAAAAGAAACAATAAAAAGAAACATTGGCATGCTCAGCGAGGGCAGACACATCGTAATTTGTTATACAAAAAGTGTACAAGGGATTTACATTCTTTGAAGAAATTCAGGAACGAACAAGCAAACAAAAAATCCTAAAGGAAGAACTAAGCGGTAAAAAAACCACCACACAGCCTGAGAGCTCAGAACAAAAGATCACAGGGAGCATTGAGCAGGAACCAGGAACACAATGAAACAGTAACAGTGCGGTGGGACAGCAGGCAGTGGGCAGGACTTGGTGGAAGATTACACTGAGTGTTGCTGCTGCTGTGGAGCCTGATGGAGCGTGTCAGCAACCAACTGGGAGTCTGTATTTTTGATGTTGCATGGCTGCTTCTTCCCCACTAAGACATACAGAGAAATACAGTCATCATCTCAATCATGTAAGATTCAAACACATACAAGAGAAACACCTGTACACAAATACAAATCACATTATCTTAAAGGATAATTCCAGTTTATTACAACATAGATCTTATTTCATTAGTTCATGGCCATCAGTCCTATTAAGTATGGCAACCAAGTATGGAACACAGCAACAAAGTCAGACGTGGCAAACCTTCCAGGGGTCAGATGTACTGTATAAACCAACAGTGAACACACCAGCTGGTGCTGCAGCTAGAAACAGGCTAACTACATGCTGATGACTAACAGGTATGACCTTTACTGAAAATCACCGCTCAGCTTCAATCACTGATGTTAAAAACCACAAACAAGCCAGAAATCTAGGTGTAGTTATGGATTCAGACCTCAACCTGAACAGCCTCATCAGGACAATTACATAATCAGCCTCCTATCACCTGAAGAATATATCAAGGATTAAAGGACTTATGTCTCAACAGGTAAAACTTGTCCATGCATTTATCTTCAGCAGACTGGACTACTGTAACGGTGTGTTTACAGGTCTCTGTAAAAAGTCCGTCAGAAAGCTGCAGCTGATTCGGAACGCTGCAGCTCAAGTCCTCACTAAGACCAGGAGGGTGGATCACATCACTCCAGTTCTGAGGTCTTTGCACTGGCTTCCTGTCCAGCAAAGAATTGACTTTAAAATCCTGCTGTTGGTTTATAAAGCACTGAATGGTTTAGGGCCAAAACACATCTCTGATCTGCTGCTACCTTATGAACCATCCCGACCCCTTAGGTCGTCTGGGACCGGTCTACTTTCTGTTCCCAGAGTCAGAACTAAACATGGAGAAGCAGCGTTCAGTTGTTCTGCTCCACATATCTGGAACAAAGTCTCAGAAAGCTGCAGGTCTGCTGAGACCCTCAGCTCCTTTAAATCCAGACTGAAGACTTTTCTGTTTGCTGCTGCCTTTAATTGAACCACATTCAAGGATATTAATACATTTCTGCATTTTACTACTGTATTTTATTTCTTACACTGCTTTCTGTTTTAATGACTGTTTTTAATGTTTCAATGAATGTTCTTATTTGTTTTTAAATCTCCTTTTGCCTTATGTTTTGATGCTTTTAATGGTTTCATGTGAAGCACTTTGAATTACCTTGTTGTTAAAATGTGCTATAAATAAACTTGCCTTGCCTTTACTATGTTCATCAACTTAGTTAACGTGTTAGCATGCTAATTAATTAGTGGTCATAAACAAAAGTATTGAACAATCAGAGGACAGAGGATTGTACAGTTGTTGGGCTGACTCTATACTAATGAAGTGGAAGTGAGTACTGAGAGGAATAAGGACCAAACCTACGGAAACCTACAAATATAAGACGCATGTTGTAATAAACTGAAATGTAACTTGAGATACTGAGATGTACATGTATGTCAACATTCAAATTAAAGCTGAACTGAAATGTAACTTGAGAACTTTTGTTACAGATTGTCTTACCTGTCATCCCATGTAGCGCAGCCTGAGTGCCTTTAAACAGTGTGATTATTCTCCTCCAGTTTCTTGCTCTCCTCAGATGTTCCCACCTCCTTCTCACCAGTTTTCCAGCTTCCTTGTCTGTGTTGGAAACAGAATTACAAATGCGTGAAGCACTATGCTACAGAATAACCTTGTCACCCTGCTCCAGATGTCAGGCCACAGCACACTCTCTTCAGCATCCACCCATCACATGCTTACTTCTCCTCCCTCTGCTACGTGATCACTTCTTCCACATAATGTGATCCCTTTAGGGCGTGTTTGTTCAATCTACTGTGAGACTGTGGCTGTAAACCTTGCCCAACTTCCTTATGATTATTATTCTAAATTCACCGACCAGAGAACAATTTCAGGTTTTTCACATGTTCAACTGTGTGTTTCTATACCTTGCATTCTTCATGTAGAGCCAGTAGATGAGTCCCAGCAAGCCAGCAGCTATGAGGAGCCCTGCCACCACTCCCACGATGAGCTTAGCCTGGTCCTCTGACTCCTCCGGAGAGCCTGACAACAGACAGCACCACTGCTTCAGCACCATTTCATAGAGCTGTCCTCTAGTTTATACTGAAGCAACAAAGTGACACTTCATCAGCCAACACTTCACTGCTTCGTCTTGTGTTTATAGTTGGACGACGTCTTCTCGTTGTTACTATAGCGACATGAAACCACACAGAGTAAAGTTCTGTTTACATTCTGGGAATCATGAGCAGCACATGACGACATGTTGGATATTGTGGAGGAGGTGGTGTGTTCCTTTATAGAACAGGAGAGGTTCATCAGTATGTCATCACATTTAGCAAACACTCCTGACTGACTCAGCGTCACGTTCTCAGCTGGTTCAGGGCAGCTGTGCTATCAATGTGTCATGTGTGGACCAGTCACTGTTGTGCCTACTTTCTATGTAGTCACAGTATCATTAAGATATACAGAGACTTGTTCTGTTGACTGGAATTAAAGAGGCGATGGGAGACTGTGTGCCACTACCGATCACTAGAGAACATGATTACTCATCTAACACTTTAAAATGAACCATATGTATCTACAGCAGCCATGCTGAGCTATTGACGTTTACCAAATGTACAGATGTTTTATTACCAGAAGACCATATAATGTACTTTAAATACTAAATGCTTTGACTGAATATTATCCATGTGTATGTAGTTCAGTGGCACATTGATAGGTCGTCATTTAACACAACTATGCACAGTCCTTTAATCATCAGACGCTCTTTATAATCTGATGCTAGTCCTCTGCAGGAGTTGGCCCGTTTGAAGAAGAATAATGAAGATGGGAAAGCTGAGGCGAGGGTACATGTGAAGAATGAATGAGGCTCAGTTTATACATGAAGAGAGAGAGCTGAGTGTTGGAGAACACTTTAGTGAACTTTGCCATGATAGTAGGTTTGATCAAGACAGCAGCTTGATATTTCTTGTTAAACAGAGAAGTCTAGAAAGGGCAAAAGAACTCAAAATCTTACCTTCTTCCTTCTTCTCCTCCTTACAAACTGAAATCAAACATAAATACATTAGAACTCATAAAAATAAAAGGCAAATAAAACAACCAAACAAAATTGTGCACTGATCAAACATGAGTAAGGCCTGCTCAGTTATTCTCTGAGAGTGCCTTTCAACAAGCAAACTGTAAGTTGGAAAGAAGAAAGCATCAATACACTCTGCTGTCAGAGCATGTTCCAGGCAGAGGCTGTTAAACTGCAGGGAGACAAGGCGAGAAGGGTTAGCACCCCGACAAACAGGGAACGCAGCCGAAGACGGTGAAGGAGGAGAGACAAGAGAAAGACCATTACCACAGACAGCAATACGCAGAGAATGAATGCATGAAATGATAGCGACGCAGCATTTAGCCTTTCCTTAAATAATCCCCTTTGTTTTGTTGTATTCCAGTACCCAGAGTAACCATCATTTAAATGTTCCACGTAAGGGTTAGGGTAGACTCAGCAAATAACTGATGTTGATAATATTATATTTCATATTCATCATATTTACTGTATATGAATTGCAGAAAATAGAACAAGTGATCTCAAAGAAAGGAGAAAAGATATTCTGTAACAGTGTCTTCTGCATCATCCCCCCCCTGCTTCACATGGAACAATACATCCATCCTGAATGCTCCCTGATGTGATTTCTTTGGTCTACTTTATAATGACAAAAAGAAAATGGACTCATGTAGGCTAAGGTATCCATTGGATACGATTAAGATGTAGTCTAAGTACATTTATATGTTGTCATGCCAACGTGGAATGCAGAAGAAGGAAAGAATCCCAGTATTACAAGACTTCAAACATATTCCTTTCTTCATGTAGTCGTGTGATGAACACAGAAATGAATACTCTATGTTGACAGCATTGTAGTGCTGTTCAACCACAACACTGCTCTGATGGGAGATGAAAATGACAGAATGCTGCTGACCACAGTTTAGTTTTTACTGCTGACGTGTTCCACCAGGGATGGACTGAGTCTTGGGTTAAACATGAGGTTCTATGTGTCAATAACTTTCATACCTCATATGTCTAATATCCAGATAGTACTAGTTAACTTTCTGTTTCCCAGAACGTTGTTCTTAAACCTCATGCTTTCCTGCCAGTTGTACAAAAATTCGATACTTCCAATTCGATCCATAGATATCTTAGCGGTATATTTATAAAAGCCCTCATATAAACTTTATTCTTATGGTTTAGATTCAAGATGAAGATAAGAGAGCTCTCACATGAGCAACTTCAATTGCTCTTAACTGTGGCTTGTTCAGATGTTGTCCTGTTTCATGCAACGCTTTATTGCAGTGTTATAAAAAAGCAGTCATTAATAAAATCACAAGTGTCAGGTCACACTGGCAGTATCACAATCATCGAGTCACCAGCAGTTTGTTTCCTACTGAGCACAGCTGCAGAAAATGTGTATGTCAACCAGATTACTGGCTGAGGAGAGCTGGCACATTTCTGTGATCTCATGCTTTACATCAGAGAGTGCAGCTTTACTTTATATTTGACTAATGTATCTCTCTCTATTTACAAGCAATGCTGCCTAATTAGCCGGATTAGCCCATTGCATTAACTCAAAACAACAAAAGGCAGTACCACAGCGAAGCATGTGAAAATACATGATTTGTCTCTTCACTGCTGTATGACGTCAGTGTACCACTACACAGAAGTATCACTGAGTAAAGCCAACTAACCAAACTGTCGACACGCGTTAACTTACCGGAGGAAACATTGATGGTCATGATATCTTCTCCCAGCTTGTTGCTGACGCTGCAGGTGACTGTCAGGTTCACCTTGGGGATCACAGAGATCTTATGGGTGGCCTTGCCGTTGGTGTAGGAGCTCTCCTCCTGGAGGCACAGCAAAAAACAAAAACACAGGCTTCAAACATCTCACAGCATTCCTCCATTCTACAGGATATTATGTAGACAGTGTGTTGCTCGACAGGGGTGAAACAGTGGGACGGTGGGAAGACACATACTGGGAGGAAAATACTGCAAATGCAGACATCAGACCGGAGCGCTGGAGAGCAGTGAATGCCAAGCTGCAAACTTATTCTGAATGGAGAGGGAAACACTTCCTCACCAACAAAGCTGAACCAACAGAGACATGTTGCCTCGCTGTTAGAGCGCTACCTGCTCACGACGAGGCCTGACCAGAACATCTCGATAAGTACGAAGTTCTGAGGCTGAACCCACACGGTGAGGAGAGCTTGTCTCAGCGAGTTATTCACACTCAGCTCCAGCTGCTGCCTGTCAGAGAGGTAGCTCTCGAGTACAATCCATAGCGGCTGCTAAAACACTTCTGCACTAACACAGCCTCAATGAAACAACACTGTACTTTCATGATGGAGCAACGGTGGAAAAGAGGGAAAGCTCAACAGGAGCTCTCTTTAGGGACAGGATCCTCAGAGAACACTGCACTGTTTGCTGTTATCAACAGCGATGCTGCTGTTGTGTTCACCTTGTGAGTCGTCATGGCAAAAAAACAACCACAGAGGAGGTTTGGAGTACTTTGCCACGTGTTTATTAGACTTCATGAAGATGAAGTCACGAAACTTTACAGGTGTGAGATCAAAATGAAGTTTAAAGATGGGTGTTAGGGGGTAAGATGTGGGGAAGGGGCCATTACATTAACACTGCAGGCCCGATTTGGCATGGAGGCTGTTGTGATCCCATTACAAGATGCTGCTGCTTTTTTCTCCACTGAAGAAACTAAACACACACACACACACACACACTTACATCTGTACTATTGACGCTCCATTGGAAGTTGGGTTCTGGTACTCCCTCAGCCTCGCAGGTCAAAACCTTGGAATTGGCATCATCAGCGAGGTGTTTGGTTAGACTGGTGATCACAGGCTTTCCTGATGCAATACATAACAACATGTTATGACCCCCAGCATTTGCCAAAAAACATGTGAAAACAGGAGAAAGCAGGCCTCCGTGGACGTTTTCAACAAGGAGAGAAGATGGTGCAACTAATGTTCCATTCATTTTAGCCAGCAGAGGAAACCAGTGTGACTATGACAGACACACTCTCACTCACCTTCTACAACCAGTTCAAAGCTCTGATGTCGCGTGAGGCCAGTCATGGAAAGCTCACATACGTAGAGTCCTGCATCAGCATAGGTCAACCTGTTAAACAGCGGCTCCTTCAGGGCCTTTCCATTCTGAAAGCAAAACAAAACATCTGCAACTGTCATTTTCACTTATCCAGCCGACCAAGCACAGCCTGCAAATGTATGAACACAAGATGTCAGTTCCATCTGTTCATTTCATCTATCTCCTATACCCACTTCTCCTGTTCAGAGCCACATGACTTTTTATTTCAGTGGAAATAAAGCAAATCAACAGCTTTTTCTCGTCGTATTTTAAGATAGACTTAATTGACTGCTAATGCTGCTACTCTACTTTTGGTTTCAGATGAGCCTTTGTACAATAGTTTGCTGTTGAGAACACAGGCCCCGATCACACCGTGACGCGTCACAGCAGGCGCACAGAAATGCCGCTTGCAAAAGCGCAGCTTTTTACGCCGCTCTACATATGGACTTTAAAACGCTGTTTAAAAGCAGTCAAAAACAGCGTTTTTTTGTCACAATAGTGAGCCCTCCTCCTTCTGTTCTGCACAGCCAGTAAGCCCAACGCTTCTGTAACCAATCAGCCAAGAGTAAAGCCAGACCACAGCAGTGCAAGTGCTGCAAGTGTCTGCCGCTGTTGGATGTGATCTGTGATGTCTTTGTAAATTGCACAGTATTCAAAGAAATAAATTGTAATTTGCCTGATATTACAACAAGTTACAATCTTTTGATTGTAATAATCTAACTGTACACTGTTCTTGTTAGAGTTATAAGATATGATAGTGTCTTATAACTCTTATAATAGTAGTGACTTTTACTATTCTAACGTTTTTTACTCTAGTAACCTTTTTTTTTACGTTTTAATGGATGTATTAAATATTAGCGTGTCTTAACAATTCCTATTTTTCAAATGTAAATACAGTGTAAATACAATTTGAATACTATATCCATGTTAAAACTGAAATGAAATACCTCGGGTCTAATGTCTAGGACTATTCTAAACATCACATCCTAACAATGCTTGCACAACTTGCACTGTTTGGTCTGGCTTTACTCTTGATTCATTGGTTACAGGAACTTTGGGCTTGCCCGTTATGCAAAACAGAAGGAGGGACTCATTTTCATAAACCATCATATATAAAAAATGTCGTTTTTGACTGCTTTTAAATAGCATATAAAGCAATGTCTAAAAAGTCCATCTGTAGAGCGGCGTAAAAAGTGTATTTTTTATACAAAGCGTGTGAAAAGAGGCGTTTAATGGTACTTTCGGCTTTCCATACCCACAAAACGTGGCACAAGTACTGCAGGAAAGCAATTGTGATCGGCTACAAAATCTATCAGCCCTTCTTTAAATGCAGTGTTATGTGTTTAGGGTGAGCTCTCTTTCAGAAACAGTGTAGAATAAATGGATTTACACAACCATCCAGCTCCTCATTTACCAGCTCTGCATCACTTCTTTCCCATCTCCCAAACTCTGGCACCATTACCTTTGTCCATGAAACTTTAGCTTCACCCGAGGTGCTCTTCTCCATCGTCACGGACAAGGTGTCTCCTACGGCCTTCACAATCTTTCCAGTGGGAGTCAGACTCAGGTCCATGTCTGAGAAAACAAGACAGGAAGAGGATGGTTGTGTTGAGTCCTATTGGTTAGCTGCCTCTTATCGCAGGCTAAAGTCACAAGGTCTACTTTCAGACCATATCACACACATCTGACAAAAACACAGTTTACCAAAATCGAATAGATCAAACTACATTTATTTCGCTGATCCCTGTCACACAGGGACCTGGTTTAACCTGATCCGGATCACACGGGAACCTGGATTAACCTGATCCGGATCACACGGGAACCTGGATTAACCTGATCCGGATCACCAGGGAACCTGGTTTAACCTGATTCAGATCACACGGGAACCTGGTTTAACCTGATCCAGATTGCACGGGAACCTGGTTTAACCTGATTCAGATCACACGGGAACCTGGTTTAACCTGATTCGGATCACACGGGAACCTGGTTTAACCTGATCCGGATCACACGGGAACCTGGTTTAACCTGCTCCGGATCACACGGCAACCTGGTTTAACCTGATCCAGATCACACGGGAACCTGGTTTAACCTGATTCAGATCACACGGGAACCTGGTTTAACCTGATTCAGATCACACGGGAGCCTGGATTAACCTGATCCAGATCACCAGGGAACCTGGTTTAACCTGATCCAGATCACCAGGGAACCTGGATTAACCTGATCCGGATCACACGGGAACCTGGTTTAACCTGATCCGGATCACACGGGAACCTGGTTTAACCTGATTCAGATCACACGGGAACCTGGTTTAACCTGATCCAGATCACACGGGAACCTGGTTTAACCTGCTCCGGATCACACGGGAACCTGGTTTAACCTGCTCCGGATCACACGGCAACCTGGTTTAACCTGATCCAGATCACACGGGAACCTGGTTTAACCCGATTCAGATCACACGGGAACCTGGATTAACCTGATCCAGATCACCAGGGAACCTGGTTTAACCTGATTCAGATCACCAGGGAACCTGGTTTAACCTGATTCAGATCACACGGGAACCTGGTTTAACCTGATCCAGATCACATGGGAACCTGGTTTAACCTGCTCCGGATCACACAAGAACCTGGTTTAACCTGATCCAGATCACCAGGGAACCTGGTTTAACCTGATCCAGATCACACGGGAACCTGGTTTAACCTGCTCCGGATCACAAAAGAACCTGGTTTAACCTGATCCAGAAAACTAGCATACTGTATGTAGAAAAAAATCATGTGATACTAAGAGGTGGTAAATGTTTAGCTTCTAGCTGCCAGAGGACATTTATGTTGCTGCCAGCCAGCTGCACGCACGCACGCACGCACGCACACACGCACACACGCACACACGCACACACACACACACACACAGAGAGCCACTGTAATCGTTCTTCAGTCACAAACCCAGTGTATAGCTTCTTTGTTAAAGATGTGTGAAATGCACTGAAGCTGCAATATGGGACCAGGAGGAGGGACTTATTCTTCATTACAATGATGGGGCCCATTTGAAGTGAAGGCTAGAAACATATACATGGGAAGAAGGGAATAATTACTTGAGGGGTGCTGGTGGATGGTTGGAGGGAAAAACAGCTTTTTAGTTGCCCACCCAAACACTTTTGCTCACTCTATGTCAGAAATGTCAAATGAGTTCTCCTCCTTCCAGCCTGGCACTCACTGATCTGCCTCCCTGCCAGGCTGGGCTAAATTTGATTACCATTACCCTGATACCATGACTCTATTTACAGTGAATAAGAGCGCCTTGTTATTTATAGGAAGGAAATACCTTCATTGAATCAATGAGGGGCCGGAGTGGCTCAGTGGGTAGAACAAGTTGTTTAATCAAATTTCATTTATGTATATGCTGATTGTAATACAAGTGTAAGAGTGTGGGGGAGCATTGGAGGAGCAGCCGTGGCTCCAGGCAAAGCCAAAGCGAGGACGACTGTTGGAGGTTTTTGTCTTGTCCCTTATTGTGGTACAATATGCTAAGCTCTGCATATATCACGAGTACTCACAGCTAACGACGATACTTTGGGAGGCCTCCATTTTCTCGTTGTCAACCAGAGAGCATTTGTATTCACCCCCGGCCTTTCTGCTGATGGCGGCCAAAGTGTAGGTGTCCGAATTTTCCACCAGCATTTTCTGGCCCTGGTGGAGAGAGAAGAGCAGGAGGAGGGAGAGGAGAGAGGCACTGTTAGCTTATGTCATTCTGCTATAATATCAGGAAATGACAAAGAAAGGAAGACAGAAGACAGGAGGAAGATCTCTTGTAGAGATCCACTTCATAAATTGAAATGAATTACTCTTAACTAAGTCAAATCAATAAGGCGTAGAGGGCTTTTAAAAACAACTATAGCAAGTACAACACTAGAAATTGAACCATCATTACCAAATTCTTGAAGTTTGAGCTCCGACTGACCTTGATGTGGAAGTAAAAGGAGCTGGGTGGAGGGTTGCCATCAGCGTGACACTTCAGCGTCACGTTATCTCCTTCTACAATGGGTCCCTTGGACATTGTTTGGAGGCTCACCTTCTCTGATGGATCTGAGGGGTTCAGAGGGCAATTGAGGGAAAAGAGAAGAAGCATGCATATCACAGCTTCACAGACAATAAAAAAAATCACTTTCACACTGGATCAATTCAACCTTCAAGCAGCACAGATACATACAACAATCAAATAATCTTCCATCACATTTCAAGGTGACCCTCTCAGTCCTCTGATCAGCCAAGTGTGGAGACCACCCAGGTTCTGAACAGTAGGGTCGATGCATAAATGCCTTAAACTTGCATTCTTTCTTATAGCCAGCAGGGGCTAGCTCCACAGAACCATTCTGTGGAGCTTTTGCTGTATGCTTGGGGTCGTTGTCTTGCTGGAGAATAAATCTTCTCCCAAGTCGTAGTTCTCTTGCAGACTGAGTCAGATTATCCTCCAGGATTTGGCGATATCTTTCTGCATTCATGTCCCCCTCTACCTTTACAAGCCTTCCAGGGCCTGCTGCTGAGAAGCATCCCCAGAGCATGATGCTGCCACCACCATGCTTCACGGTGGAGATGGTGTGTTTGTGGTGATGTGCAGTGTTTGGTGTTCCCTAAACATAGCGTCTAGTCTGATGGCCAAAAACGCCAATGTTTGTCTCATCAGACCAAAGAACCTTCTTCCAGTTGACCTTGGAGTCTCCCACAATGCCTTTGGGTGAATTCTTTCTACAGTGTCTTTCTCTTTGCCAGGGTCCCATACAGCTTCGACTGGTGAAGAACCCGGGCAACAGTTGCTGTATGTACAGTCTCTCCCATCTGAGTCACTGAAGCTTTGAACTCCTTCAGAGTGGTCCTAGGTGTCTTGGTGGCCTCCCTCATCAGTCCTCTTCTTGCCCGGTCACTCAGTTTGTGAGGACGGCCAGCTCTAGGAGATTTAAACTACATTACAGTCATTTAGCAGACGCTTTTATCCAAAGCAACTTACAATTCAGAGTCTATCACATTTCTACACCGTAGGCACAGCTACGGGAGCAATTTTGGGGTTAAGTGTCTTGCTCAAGGACACATCGACATGCGACTAGGGGAGCCGGAGCCGGGGTTCGAACCGCCGACCCTCTGATTGAAAGACAGCCCTGCTTAGCCACTTAGCCACAATCAACCCAACTAGTCCCATCCTCCTTCCATGTCTTAATGATGGACTGAACTGAACTCTGTGGGATGTCCAGTGAGGTGGAAATCTTTTTGTAGCCATCTCCTGACTTGTACTTCTCAATGATCTTTTCTCTGTGTTGCTTGGAGTGTTCTTTTGTCTTCATGTTGCAATTGTAGCAGGAATACTGATGAACCAGAGACTGGACCTCCCAGACACAGGTGTTTTTATACTACAATCACTTGACACACATCAACTGCACTCAGGTCATCTCCATTTCACTACTTGTGACACTGCTGGCATCAACTAGCTGGACTTCTGTTGAATTAGGTCAGTCACTTTAAAGGGGGTGAATATTTATGCAAACACGTATTTTACACTATATATTTTTAATTTATTGACATTAGTTTGTAAAAATCTGTTTTCACATTGACATGAAAGAAGCTTTATTTGCAAATTCTTGACAAAAAAGCCAAATTATTCTGATCATGATTTCATGTATAAAAGCAACAAAATGGGAAAACATCCAAGGGGGGTGAATACTTATGCAAGGCACTGTACATTATACAGTGTTATACAGAGTTATAGAGTGACTTTGACCTTCGGCCACTAAAATCCGTTCATCCTTGAATCCAGGTGGATGATTGTGCTAAATTTGAAGAAATTTCTTCAGGCGTTCCTGAAATATGGTGTTCATGAGAGGGGTACTGACGGAAACAGACCCAAAAACACAATTTAAAATGACTATACCTCTGGCCCCGGCTGTCGCTGAGGCATAACGAAAGTCATTCTAATGGTGCTATTGTTCTAAGGCAGATTCATACTGTATCTTCACTAAACATCTCACAGGTGGACTAGCAGGTTCCTCCTCTATAAAACTGATTTGGCTAATCAGAGCAGTTTGCAGCATTAAAACAGGAATGTCACCACTCACAGCAGTTCCCACATCTGAATTAAGGGAGCTGCTATCGTCAGCCTATGAGAGGATTTCATTCTGTTCATTCAATTTAACAAATTAAACTCAGACTTTAGCTGCATTAATCAGAAAGAAGCTTGAGGAGCATTTTTCTTGGTTGGTGTGTTTTGTTTGTGAATAATTTACAGGGAAGTGTATCTGATGCATTTTACATTTGTCCATTTCAGACATTCAGCTCTTGACAGTGAGTGTGCTCGAATCGTCATAGTCTTCCTCAAGAGCATGCTAACATTCATGGGAATGTTAGCATGCTCTTGAGGAAGACTATGACAATGTCCATACACAACTTGATAAGACTGCTATTAATAGGATGGTTGTAGCCACTTCTTCAACAAATAATACATTAAGGAGGTGTTGGAAGTGTTTATCTTTTACTGAACTTGGAATATTGGTTGAAGAAACAGTTTGGAACTGCAAGCTTGTCCTCATCCTGCACGAGAAAGGCTTATGGGAGGAAATATTACTTATATTTCATGGGTCAATGTGGGAATTTTTTTGGTTAAAACTTTAAAGTCATTTATTTGACTTGATTGTTGCAGTTAATATTTGTTTTAATATAACAGGCCAACTTCCATAAATACATCTTTTCATTGGTATTTTAATTTGTTATACTATATTGATCCCGTTAAGGGGGAAATTTGTCTCTGCCTGTATATATAGGGCGCAGTGGGCTGCCAATGACAGGTGCACAGGGAGCCGTTAGGGCAGTGATTTTCAACCGCTGTGCCGCCGCACACAAGTGTGCCGTGAGAGATCGTCAGGTGTGCCGTGGGAAAATGTCCAATTTCATTTAATGAGTCCAATAAAATATTATTTAGTTGTTGCAAATACTTTGCCATTGTTGAGCACCTGCAGCTTCAGGGACGGGGACGTGTGATCACAGACATGTGTGATGCAGTAAAGGTCTCCACCGCTGTGTTCCCGACTGCGCATTTTGATCATAAACTGGGCGCACTTGGCACGGAGTTCACTTGGCGATTTGCCAACTTTGCAGCTCAGAAATGTAAATCTGAACTGCTCAGCAATCCGTTTGCAGTTGAGGTGGAAAGAGCACCTGTGGAGCTGATAGACCTCCAGTGTAATGACACTCAAGGCAAAGTGTGACTCTGAGGGCGCTGCACAGTTTACAAGCTTCACCCCGAAACGATGCCTTAACTCCGCCTACATGCTGCTCAAACGCTCTGCATGTTTGGAAGCACATACCAGTGTGAGCAGCTGTTCTCTGTGATGAAGATGAACACAAACCCACACAGGAGTCTCACTGATGCACACCTTCACTCCATCTTGAGGGTTTCCACAGAACCTAACCCAGATATTAATGAACTGGCAGCCAAGAAAAGATGCCAAACATCTGGCTCTGGTACGTATGCATAAAATAATGTAGCCTACCTAAACATGTATTCTTTTTGCACTTTGTCCAATATCCCTTCTATCCTGTTTATTAAATGGTGACTCTATTTGGCCCTCAACGTAGTCACAATTTCTTATTTTGTCCCTCTCTGGGATTGAGTTTGACACCCCTGCATATATGCTGTATTATGCTAAAAGGTGTCATTTTGTAACGTTTGTGGTTGTTGGTGTGCCGCGGGATCTTTTTAATGTAAAAAATGTGCCGCGGCTCAGAAAAGGTTGAAAAACACTGCGTTAGGGGTTCAGTGTCTTGCTCAGGGACACTTCGACACGTGACACGTTCCAGTCAAGGATCGAAACCCTCTTAACCCAGTGAGCCACGGTCTTTTCTTTTCTGTGTCTGTCTGTAGTGACTGTTGGTATAAATCGTCATTCCCTCCAGTGCAGTGGTGCTGCTTCTCTTCCATTTCAATTGCACAGAACCGTGGTGCAGTCCTTTATTACATATAGACAAACCCAGCTAAAAGTGCTGTAAAGCCTTAATAAGCATCCCCCTATTGTCAGATCATTAAACAAGTATCACTCTACCACAGATAAAACACTGAATCCTCTTGACAACCTTTTGCATGTCGGCAGGTAAAACAGGCACAGGGTGTTTTCCACTTACAGTGAATGGGAAAGGGCTCCAGCTCTGTCTCCTGACTGCTCAGCTTATGTGAAGACACACAGGCGAAGACTGAGACAGCGTCCTCCTTCGAAGCGGCATACTGGAGGGTGGACGAGGTGGTGGACAGGCCTGTGGCTGGATCCACCTTCATGCTTGGGTTGATCACAACGGCTGCAGAGGAAGGGAGGGAACGTCAGATGACAAACACACAGCATATAGTGATTGGCTGAATGCTGTAAGCATAGCGTTCAGCCAACAAAGTTGGCAAACTTCTTTGGTTCTTTGGTTTAGCAGCAAAACCAGATTTGTTGTATTAAACCAGTCCAGATGATTTAAAGTTAGCAATCACAGAAAAGTGTTGAAGTTGCCTTTTAAGAACACTTCTATGATTGTCTTTACTTTCAGGCACTTACTCGCCAAACGTCCACATAATGTCTGTCCAATACAAATGTAAACAGTCATATTATTGCATCCTTCAGTGACAAGTAAACAAAAGTGAATTACATATTTTTCTATTGTCTTAAATATCATACACTATGATTTCATTTTCACTCTCCTGTCACTGTACAAGAACCCAGGGGGATCTCTGTATGACAGCATCTAGTGGGACTGTTGGAAGGTTTCTTTGTGCGTCATTGTTACCTTTCCCATCGGCTACCAACAGCTTTCCATTCTTTTTCCATGTGATCGTAGCTGCAGGGTTTGCATCCGCCGCAACACAAGTTCCCACCTGAGCAAAACGAGAAAACAAAGTCTTACTCACTAGATGCTTTTATTGCTATTGTTATTATTATTATTATTGCTATTGAATTGAAAATGTTAAGAATCAGATACAATAATTGAAAGTGTCATTTGATTTAATCTGGTTTCCTCCACTGTCAGTTTGGAAGTGCAGAAGTTTGCTATTTATTAACTGAACAATATAAAACGGTTTGTTTTATGCCTTTAACCTGAATAGATTCTAATGCTACAATCTCACACAAGAATTCATCAACACAACATTATCTATGTGGATGGTAGTGCAAATATTACTATTTCACCGATGAGAAGAATGATTATGTGCTCAAAATACCTGCTATTAGCAGCTTCACTCTAAAACCCATTTCAGTGAAGCTCTAGAATTGTATAATGTAGCGCCTGCTTTCCAACATTAGCAGGAGGAATTTGGACGGAGGCCAGGAAAGACAAACAACTTTCTCATTTAGGAATGAACTTGTTTTTGTGTCTCACTATCTCGTTGCTGCATCTTCAGGATTGAAGGTCAGCAACGGTAGCAGAGATATGCTGCGTGTGAACTTGCCGATGAGTGAGTCATAGGAACATTCCTTCTCCCTATCCTGTACTACGGCCTGTACGTGAGTCACCACAGACATGTCTCCGAGTCTACTTTCAGGAAATTCAACAGTCAAACAGTATAGTAGAAGTACTTACAGCATCTCAAAAGGGTTTTCCATAAAAGGTTCAATTACCTTGTTAGAAATTCTTCAAATTAAATCTACCCCTTCTCCCTCATTGAAATATCCAGAATCTATGAATATCCATATTGCATATGCAATATTAAACTGCAATATTGAACTGCTCGACATAAAGTTTGTTCTACTTCACTTTAAAGTCCATTTTTAGTGTATGTGTGCCAGAGACTTCAAGTTTCCACATCACACTTGTGTAAGCTGCATATTGGATGTCATAAATCCTGCTGGTACGAATGTGTTAAACTGAGATCATAGAGAAACAGAGAAATGAGGGATCAATAAGGAACACGTTTTTGACTCTCACCCTCACCTAAGACATCTGGCTGCCTCTTATGGATTCAGAACTCCATGTAATGTTCTCTATTCTATGTTTTATTGTCCAATATTTTGTCCATCTTTTCAACCAGCTTGTGGCAATTTTTGAAAATGTATTGAGAACCATTTTAATTCTAGAGATAAGGTAGCATTTAATTCATCTTGTTCCCAAATGCATTGTTGCACAGTATAACCAGTCTTCTGCTGTTGGCCACTAAGTACAGCAGCTCCACATGAGAGGCCCAAAGATCCACCAGGAGCAACACTGAAGCCATTTATTTTCATCAGAACAGATGATACAGTTCTTCATCCTAACGATGATGGTCAAGAAAAAAAGAAAGAAGAAACCAACACCGGTTGTAAGAGAATCAGATCCACAAATTAGTTCCATGGGTATAACAAAGCAGTGATACTATTGAACTCGTGGTGGCTGAATGATAAACGGTGGAACATGTTCTTATCTGCACTGTGTCAACATCTCATCAGGACTGCTGTCAGTAACATAGTACTGTAGTAAACACGTTTCTCACCGGGTTTGATACCTCCCCTCAGAGACATGAAAGCTTTACTCAACTTGACTCGACTACAGATAAACATGCTGACTGGCAGAGCTACAGCTTCACAGCTGATTTTTGGTTAAGCTTTGAGTAGGGACGGGACGATATAGGATTTTATCACAATAAAAAACATTCACAATAAGTTGATGGAAGTAAATTTCCGTTATAGGGGTTAATCTCAAACAAAGTCACACAATGTTACTATTTTGTATATATTTATTTATCCTATATTTATGCAGAGGGACTTTATTTCTTCAAGTTGTATTAACTGTGCTGTTTTATATTGCCTGTGTATTTCAGCCAGTTCTGTCTTTCTCATCAACCTCTGTGTAGACGGCGACTATTTTACATTAATTAACAAACCTCTGTTCGTGAAACCTTTTGGTTGTTGTGAAGAAAGCCCAGACCAGAGGTCACACCTCAATTAATCAAAGGCCTTTCCATTTCTAAAACAGACCTGTATTGAGCCTGTGCAAATCCACTTCTACAGAGTTGCAAGTTGAGTTTCTAGACCCAACTCGCTCCCTGGACTGAAAACGAATACACATCTTGGGTACAGATACATTCAATCACCTTGTCCTTCCTGAGAAGCTTAGCCCAACCCACAACTTTTCTTTAACTGTAATTTCCTGTAACCCTGTATATAATCATGGCCAGAACTCTCTCTGGTGAGAGAGAATTCTACTCCTTTGTTGTGAACTTCTGTCTCCACTGCGAAAGTGAATAAAACTCATCTGAACCAGTCACAGAATTGGACCTGAAAGAAACTTTTCTTCAACAGGAGCTTATGATTGTCTGTTTTTCACTAAACAGGACTTTCACAAAAAGATGTGTCCTCTGTGGTGCAATAAAAATTAAAGTTGCAAGCAGTGATGTACGGGCCCTCACACCTTCCCGCGTCTCGCGGGTACTGTCAGGACAGATGCGACTGCGAATGTCTTCGACCATCAGACAACGCGTCCCAGAGTGAAACGTGTTTCTTCCGCGAGGACTGTGTGACGCTGGAAATTATGTAGCGTTATTCCAGCAGTTCCTGTATCCAATATGTGGCGCTAGAGAACACACATGCATTATGTTGCTCTATATCAAGTGCAGACCACATCATGTAAATATCATATAAATCGGATTCTGTTTGTCACATAACGCTGTCTTCCTGTTGCCAGTAGGTGGTGCTATGAGGGAAAATTGGCTTGTAGACATCCTCAGGCCATGACTGTTATCAAGTATGGCAAGTTTGGGACATATTTGAGCAAGTCCAGTCGAGTTATATCAGCTTGTTGTTTAACGGTGAAACACGTAAAATGGCCGCTACGCCATTCCATCAAACGTAAAGCTTTGAGTAACCTTTAATTGCAACGGTCTTTAGATTATACTGACCAAATTTGAAGTGGATCTGACAAAGTCCCTAGGAGGAGTTCGTTAAAGTATAGCGACTACAAATTAAGGGGAAATTAACACAAAAATCGAAATGGCCGACTTCCTGTGAATTTTAGAGCATTGTCCCAAGAGACTTTTTTTATGTCTCCATGTGGCCATGTGTCCCCAAGTGGATACATGTGCCTACTAAATTTCATACATGTAGGTCAAACATAGCGCTGGGGCTGCATTTTTGAATATTTGTAGGGGCGCTGTCAGGCAATTTAAAAACGGTCAAGCCAAAAAGCTATATGAAATATTTATTTCCATCACCTATGACACCTGTGCAAATTTCCAAGGCTTGCTGAGCAACCTAAGCCATAAAAATCAGCTTCCTTTTTCATGGCGAATGGCGCATTGCCACGGCAATAGCGTTTAACGTCAACTCACAATATTCATGATGAAGCATCATCAATGTCTTTAGGCTTACCATACCAAATTTGAGACTGATCTGGGTAACTTCCTAGGAGGAGTACATCAAAGTATAAAATTTGTCATTTCCTTTTGCCAGTAGGTGGTGCTATGACTTTGTGAAAATGTTGGCATGGAAATGTGCTCAGGCCTGGAGATGCACAAGACATTTGAGGCAGATTGAATAAAGTATCTTGTAGTTACAACAACTTCCTCTTTCATGGCGAAGGGCCCGAAATGGGCTAGAAATGGCAGAAGACCATTTTAGCAACTTTTCATCATTAATGTCTTTAGATCATCCTGACCAAATTTGAAGTTGATCGCATTAATTGTGGGAGGAGTTCGTTAAAGTCCAAAAGGTGAAAAATGGCGAAAAAGCCAAAAATTGCCAATGTTGTTCAGAATAATAATAGTAATTCCTACACTTTTAATAGGGTCCTCGCGGCCCGCCGTTGTCGGTGCTCGGGCCCTAAACATAGCTTTTCATAACAAAATGTATGATGAAGTGATTCTAGAATGTTTTTGTGTCATTTTAAGAGTTTTAAGCATATTTTGATTATGGGGATAATATCATGAATTGCAATTATTTTGGCCAAGATAATAGTGACATGCTAATGAAATGAGTATATGGCCCCATGCCTAGCTTTGAGCTAACCCTACAAATGAACATCAGCATTTCCATTTCCACAATAGCAATAAATAAGGTTAACTAAAATATATTTTGTAAAGAGGTACTATATCTCCATTCTGAATATCGGAATAATAATGCTTTTTTAGCTTGGGTCTTTTCAGCTGAGAAAAGATCACTGAGAAGTTGAAAATGCCAGTAGGTGCAGCGCAACTTAAATATACTGTATAAATCTAGTGCACGGTGGTGCTCTATTGTTCCCTGCTGGTACATTATGATCATTATTTAATGTAAAGCAGGACAAGTCAGGAGCGTATTACACCTTTACGAGAGAAGTGTGTGTGTGAAAGTATTTGCATGCACTGTGGCTTTTGTTGGCGGCCGCAGAAGTGCAGGAGACCATCTTTACAAAGGCTTAAATTCAACAGTGTCAGTTGTGATGGGCATTCTTTATTTCAACAAAATGCAATCACTTGAGACATTGTTGTAACTACACCAGGGATAGTTTAAATCAAGGCTTTATTTTCCTCTGGACACACAAGTAGAATAATCACAGTGAAAAGGTGGCAGGATCTCATGGTCGGGAACAGAAGGCTGAGTGAATTACCGGGGCAGAGGAAAGGCGGAGTAGTCCAAAACAGGCAGGGTCGGTAACGGAGAATCAGTCCAAGGGTATACGCTGGAAGGTCTTGCATGGAAGCGGAGAACGATCTGGCAGTGATGTGTGTGTGACTGGGGTTTAAATAGTGGATGCAGTAGAGTGAGCAGGTGAGAGTGATGAGCTGATGAGGTGGGTGTGGCTGGCAGGTGCACTGAATAAACTGATTAGGTGAGTGAGAGGTGGAAAAAACTGGATAATCGTGGCAGAGCTGTGACAATTGTACTGTATGGTCTGATCTAACAGGCCAGGCGGGAGAATGTAATGCTATTCAACTTGACCACAGGAGGAAAATAGATGAATGTGCTGTCTGAGTCAGATAACAAAAAATCCCCCGACAACCATTCATCGTCGGATAGTCTACAGAGCTTTTAACATACTGTAAGTCCAGGAGGAGAGCTCTGTTTAAATGAATTACCTTCAGGCGACACAGGCTCCCATCCAAGTACAACGTGTAGCTCCTCTCTCCCACCCAGATCAACCAGGCGATAACACTGACTTCATGCAATAACCATCACATTCAAAGGAAAAAGAAAACCTCCACCTACACCATCCCGTGCTCATTAAACTTTTTCAAGTGTTGTGTATGCTAGTGTCACAATGCACACTTTACTTACTTACAGCACTCCTTATACTAACCCATATAGGCTCTTAACATGTACTTAACATGTGTCACACTCTGCCTTTACTAACCTAGTTTAACCCACTAAGAAAGAACATCATTCACAGACGTACGCTCACAGTTGCTCTGTCACTTTCACTCTATAGCTTGGCACAAGCACTACGACGGAGAAGCTGTCGAATGCAGGCAAACCACAAAGCAAGTTTGGCAAAGCAAGTTTGGTCCCAATGTGGGCTTTGTAATATTTCTCTATGTAGATTCTTAATGTAAAATAGTCGCAAACCACAAAGCTACCACATATCACATAAGAGAGATACACACACACACACACACACACAAGCAGTTTTCACTGTTAACGATAGCTGCGAGCCGCTGGTTGAGACCCGATGAGAGGCAACCAAAATGCTCCCAATCTTGTATATAGCATCTTAAACCTAATCGTTAGCACTTCACTTTAAACCCCTCAGTTTAGTATTTAAATCAGTATATGAGCCTGTCACGATCAGGCTTTGTCTTGTGTGTTCTGTGTGTTTCTTTCAGTAGCTCCTCACTCTACCTGTCAGCCACTCCCTCAGCACCAGTCCAACTCCCTTCACCTGTCCCTGATCAGTAATCAAGCACTCCGTCATCAGCACAACTCTCCTCACCTGTTCAAGTCTCCTTATAAACCCCTGTCTCTCAGTCACTCACTGCCAGGTCATTGCTTATGTTCATGTCTACCCGCCAGTGTTTGCTCGTCCTGTTTCCCCGTCTGCCTGCCCTGCCTCGTTTCCCACTGGATTTTCCCCCTCGTCTCTTGTCTTGTGCTTGGACTCCCTGTTGTGTTGGTAATTATTCCTTTTGTGTTTAATAAAACGTCTGCTTCACGCTACTCTGCCTGGTCTGCGTTTGAGTCCTCCACCATGAGCCTGGTGACAGAGCCTGTAATAAATGGTTTTATAACACAGTATAATGTAGCGGTAAGAATATGTAAATGTATTTGTCATTAACCAACCCTCCTTTTGAGCAACATTTGTTAAAGATAATCTATGACAACATAGTAAAAAAGTTGTAATAATATGAAATGTCTTCTTAAAGGAAATTGTAATTGTTGACAGACACTGTACATTAATAAACACTTTAAGCATAACGGCTACATTACAGTGTTAAAACCATGGATTAAAAGTTGATATACTTTATTATAAATGCTAAATAGGAAAGATTAAAATATTGCCACTCAGTCGAAAAGGTTAAGACGTGTCATATCTTTAAATTGTTCATTTGAACAGATTAATTGTCGTCCAGGTATTAAGAAACAACACATGACTGGTATTATTTACCTGAAAATGACCTGGAGGGTTAACTAACTGTAAATGAATCCTTGAGAAACTGGTCCAGTATCTGCTATATAGCGTCTGACATTGACTCTTGAAATCAGCAGCATGAAATCAGCAGCCCGTGTATTTTTTATACTTCTGTATAAAAAATACACGGGCTTAATTGTGTGTTCAAATGAAAATGCAACCTCGGCTGATCCATGGCTGAGACAGTTCAGGCTTGCTGCATTCTCCACCACTCAACATGACACTTTCCTCTAATTTGTAATTCCACTTGAGTATGAAGTAGCTGTGCCCTCCATCCCTCCTGCAAGTTATCAAAACTGAAATCCCTCTCTTCCACTCCCACTTTTCTTTCTTACCCTACGTCTCTCCTTGGCTCTCTCCCCTCACCACAAAATGCTCAAAGCTGTTCAACAGAAGCAGATTTCTTGGGTGGGAATACCGATGAGGCAGCAGCACTCACTTGATCCATAATAAATGTGCATATGTGGTGGAGTAAATGTGCACTGCTTGCTAGAGAGAGAGAGAGAGAGAGGAGGCAGATGACTACTGTAAACGTGCTGCTTTTCAAAAGTAGTCTCTCTTTTTTTTCCAAAAGATACTTATATCAGTGTGTGTGTGTGCATGTGTGTTCAGGGAATGAAAATAAACAGCAAAAAAAGAGAAATTCTTGCAAGAGTAAGTGTTTAACAATGAATTTAGTAAGATTTAGAAACATGTGTTCTTAAAGCACACATTTGTGCGTGCTGTCATAGTCTGAAATGTGTAGCGGTTGTGCTACACATTTCCAATGTTGTCCAACAAAAGTATTAGAGGTAATTAGAGTTCAGTCATCTTATACTACAGCATTGCTCTGACTGCAGCTGAATCATAAATCTCATATCAACTACTCTTCCAGACTTCCTCCAAGGCCTCAGGCTGCTTGGACTGCATGTTATCCAACATGTCAGACTCCTGCATGTCCCTGCAGACCACAATGGCAACTCATTCAATACTCAGCGGGTTTTCGCATCACATTCTGAGCGGTGTTCACTCAATATTTACAGTCAGCCCATAACACTACAGATGAAAACATACCACGGCCTACACACTTGAATTCAGGACAGCTTCGCACTTCCACGGCACGGAGCATTAAAATGTAAAGGCTGTAGTGAATCTTACCGTTGTTGCCTTGTCCTTCTGCAGTACTTCAGTCTTGTCCATAATCTGGACTGAAGACGGTTTCTCTGCAAACAAAAGGAGACAATCATGCTTGGGAATCACAAAGATTGGCTCAGGGAGGTTTTTTTATAACGTCGTTTGGATGTCCTTCATACTATCAATAACTTCTAAATGTATCTACAGTACTGAGGGGAACAGTGAGTACAAACATGTAACTGTCAACATTCAGCACCTGGCTAGTAGAAAGCCTGGTTCATCTAAATACTCTGGCTGCAAATGTATTGCATTATTATGAATCATGCTGTAGGACATCATTTCAACTTGTCCTATGTTAACTACCACCTAACCCTCTCTCTAAGGCCTATTGAGCCTTTCCCGCTTGGGTTAGCAAAGCCCATTAGCAGGTGATACATGGCCGGTCTTTGAAATTCCAAAACTGTATTTTCTAATGCACAGGGAGGAACCAAAGTGACAAACCCACAGTAGACAACATTGAGTTTTAATGCAATTAAAACCAAGCTGCTTGTTAAGAAACTGCCTCAATATCCCTCCATGCATATTTGAATACACTTGACAAATGTAGTTGTTTTTGGCTAATAAGTCAGTACTGTGGATTTTCTGTTTACATCAGTGACTTCTTGGTAATTACACCAAAATAGCTTGTAACATGACATTATTCACAAAATGTGCATGTGCAATCTGCATGAATCTATTTATTTGAAAAAGACTTAATATATACACAAGATCCTTTTGCAGAATAACCATTCTAGCACTCAGAAGTGTAAATGCATTTCTGCAATACAATGCTTCAAAATGTGATCTATCAATGTAATATATATGCAGGTCGCTATGATAATATTGTGACAATTTGAGTGTTTCTTTTATATATATTTTTCATGAGAAAAATCTCCTTAACAGCGTAGAATTGGCTCATTCGCAGGGTTTCACTTTTGAGCTCATGGAGATGATGAATAAGTGATACTGCTGCAGTCTTCACATTCATCTGACAGCAGTCAATTCAGATCCATGCAGTGTTGGAGTGTAACAGAAATGTCACAGGTTGGACCTCATCAGACTGCCATCGTGACTGTTAAGTAATTGAACCCTCAGATGGGACCAATGTGTAAAATTGCCAGAACATTTATGTAACAAGGTGCATGTTGAAAAAAATGCAAAGAAACATTAGGCTCCAATAAGAATAAGACCTTCAGAAACACTGCAGACACACATGCTTAAAAGCTAACTTCAGATAAAATCATCAATGAAGTTGTAGGATAGACATTGTTTTTGTGTTTCGTGTCAATATTGAGCTTACTGTAAACGGCGACAGAGACCGGGTACTCCATGAGGTTGGAGCCGGACACCACCATGCAGGTGAAGGTCTTTTGGTCTTTGAGCGAGGCCTTGGTGATGAGCAGGCTGAACTTGTCATCGATGCTGACCCTCTCGGCGTAATCGTCAGTGGCCTGAACCGTGGCTTGGTCATTGCGGGCCTGTTTGATCAACAGATCGCCCGCAGTGTCGTCATTGTTCTCCTAAAGAGACAGAGAGGACAGACACATTCGGTGATTTTGTAAATCTGAACATCACAGTTCCTCATTCCTCAATTACAATTTAGGATACATTACCCAACATTACCCTACATGTAACTAGTGTCAATCAGCAGACCTCCAAAGAACATCTAACTGATTTAATTAAAAGCTGTAACCATGGAAACTGCCAAGTCACATTGTCTCTTCAATAATTAGCAGATTCAGCATCACAGATCTCATTGTTACTGTTTAATCACATAAACAGTAACAGTTATTTCTTTGTTGTAACAATGCTTCTTGGCAATAAATCATATATACCGTTGGAAAGCCTGTTTATTTCCCTTTTAAATGGAGCCACATTTGTCAGGAACTGTGGGATGAGCAGCAGATGAGCAGTATGTGGGTTGCACCCCTGTATATAGGGAGCAGTGGGCTGCCCTGGGAAGCGCCAGCAGTTAGGGGTCTCAGTGTCTTATTCAGGGAAACTTCGACACAGGACACGTAGCAGCCAAGTATCGAACCGCCGACCTTGCGGTTACCGGACGACCCTCTCTACCCAATGAGCCACGGTCAACCTCTTCCACACCTTAGCTCAAGTCATCCCTTGTAGTTTCTCCCTTAAGTTACATGAGCATCTCTTGCTTTTCTCACCACCTGCTCTCCCTCATCCGGTACGGTCATGTTTACACAGTCAGCTGGTTATTGTAGCAGTACAAGATGTCAGATGCCGACTTGAGTTATTGTTGCAATACAAGTCTTTTTTGGTCCTTTTTGGCCGCTCCATGTACTGGTACTGTAACAGCACGAATAGATGCACATCACCACCCAATAGATGGAGGGCGTGAGAGCGAGAGTCTCACGGTCAATGCATGGGAGTTGGCACTGCACAACATTTGTTTTGTACTAAGTAACCTGCACCGATGCATTGAGAGCTTGGATTTACATGCACAGCTCCAGTTTTACGTTAGCTAACATTTATGCTACACACGTATTCTGTCTTGCAGCGCTCACACTGAGGTATTAAAGTATGGACTGGCTGAAAGTCAATTTTATTGAAGCAGATCACAGATTACAGTCAGCGCAAAGGTTCCAGTAAAGATGGGACAATCAATCTTATTTACTTCACTTACTAATCATGGCATACAATAGGTCTACATTAGGCTACACACTATGTAATAGTGAAACTCTGGTCATGTGTTCTCCTCACAAAGCTCCTTTGGCACAAAAAACATGAATCAAAGAATAACGAAAGAACCGGCATTACTACAGGATTTTCTTTTCCCTTTGGAATTCATGACCACTGTTTTTATCCCCCCACTATGTGTTCATTGGTTTGTCACACTGAATGTGTTCCCAAAATATTTTGTTTTCTGAATTGCTCTTTACTAATTTATTTATTTACTTTGTCTCTGTGATATTTACAATGATTGTGACTTAAACCTCTTGCACACGACGCCCCCAAATTTGGGGGCTCTCGGGCTCAGAACCCCTGAAAATCATGTACGGAAAATAGCCTTATTCTTCGGTAATATTGTGGATTGGTCCAGTTTTTTTTCCGGATTAAACAGCAACGTAGGGGCAACACTATCATATAAGTCACTTCTTACACACTCCAAACACAACTATAGACTACTCATATAAGCATCTAGAAAACGTGGCATAAAAGCATGAAATCCTGGCCAGAAATCGCCGTTATGAGTACCGCAAATCAATATTTGCACCCTGAGGCTAGCGGCTACCTAGCTTTGCAATGCACACGTGGCCAAACGCGTAAATAACTTCGGTTTTTCACTCCGTGGAAGCACTGGACAGCTGTGAGTGGTCAAACGTACCTTCGTACTGCCCTCCGCCGAAAAAAATCGTAGGTATGTGGCCAAGTTTTATGAAAAATTAGTACAATAACGTCGCAGATTATCCGTTTCAAAGCTGGAGTCATTGTTGCTAACTGCATCCTGTTTACTTCCGAGCTGTTTCCAGAATAAGAGCGGTCAATCCAGCATGGGCGAGCGGTCAAACTTCCAGCGAGCAGAAATTTATGATCGGGGAGACGCGGCACTTCTTGCAACTTTACTGGTTGAAACTTATGTCAATCAACACCAAATTCAACACACGCCTTCCTGAAACTCTGACGCATCGAAGGAGGGCTTATTGACTGAAATTGACCGATGATAGGCTGAGCTACAGCCCCATACACACACATGAACTGAGAAAATCCTATAGATGACAGCCAGAAACAGGCTCTGATGATGTTAGGAATCTCAAAATGATTCCTAACAGCGGTATTTGGATGTATTGAATAATATGAGTGATAAAAAAAGTGAAATATAGTTATATAGTATATAAAAGTACAATGTAAGAGCTGCAACAGCTGGTTCGAAAATGATGACCTCGCTTGACCGCTCTCTACTAAAGCCTCTTATTCTTCACTTTATCCCACTTTAACCTTTATTCGGCAACTACTGATCGGTTGTGCTATGCTTTGGGAGAGTTTTTAGGGAGATATCTGCATTATTTCAACAACCTTATATCAATAAAAGTGCTTTTTTTTCAGGCGAACCTGATTATTTTCAATTTGAGCTGTGTAATGTCTTCATTACTATATTAACCAGCAACATATACACAATATTACCCATCTGAACAATCTCACAAGTGTTGTGATCTGGTTATATCAACAAAAATTATTAAAATAGACCTTGTATTTACAGAACTATGGTCACTTTAGTATGGGTATGCTATTTTCGAGCAGAGGCCTACAAATAGGGCCTGAGCTTAAGAGGTAAACCCTAGAAATGACACAGGTGTATTAGCGTACATGTTTGGTTCTTCCCATTCAATTGGTTGGTTATATGTTGGTGAGTTTGAGTATTTATCATATGAGAAAACCATACACTTAAAGATTCTTTATGTGTAATTAGAGAATGTGTAGAGAAGTCTTCTTTTAGTTCTTCCAGGAAAAGAATGCTTTTGTCACTCAGTTGTGATGAAATTGATGTGACAATGTGTGGTCACGTACACTAAAGAAAAGCCAAATTTATCATATGGTCCAACTTTTCCTCTTCTTCCATGTCATTGAAGGTCGTTTGAGTGTGCATGTCACACGATGTTAAGAAGACAAAGCGCTGTGGCACTGTTTACACAAAGAACGTTGGTACAGACAGTATTGAGAGTCAGTATCTACTTACGTATTTCCACTTGACGAACATCAAATCCTCTGGCGCCGGGGCTCCTTTGTTGCATGGTAAAACAATGATCTCTCCATACAAGGCAGTCACACCTTCTGTTGCCCACCCTGCAACAACAAGGTGACACACTGTTACTATCATCAAACACATTCTGTACCTTTGCTACGGCAACGGCGGCGCATGTGCATGCTGCAGCCTGTAGCGCCCGTGAAGTGTTTATCACTAATGGCATATGACAGACTACATTCATCAACATCTGAAAAGGAAACGTGGCGACCAACCAGCCAGACCTGACCGGATCGGAAGAGCCCATATTCCTGTGAGGGTGGACTGGGCAGCTCCTTCCAAGTAGAAATATCTAGAAATGGAGGGGTGTGAACAAAGTGAATAAAGCTACACCACACTATGTTGTCACGACACCACAATTTCAAGCATGCCTCTCTTTAAGTTTGATGAGGTTGAGCTCAGCGGGTCAAGCTCAGTGCTCCGTGTGCAACGCGAGGATATGGTTTCCTCTGTCCACAGAAGGGAGGGAGCGCTGAGGTGGAGTAGTTGCTATGGTGGCACAGCCCAGTCATATGCAACGTGGGAGGGGTGGGGAGAAGATGGATGGATAGAGGTCAGGGCAGAGTGGACTGACACCAAGGTCTACACGCTCCAACTCTTTCTCTTTGAAGCGCCTCAGATTCTGCTCATTCCAGAGTGAAAGTGCAGCTGCTAACTGAAGTGGTTTTGGCCAGGGTATGCCTGTTGCTCATCTTTTCTGACTTCCTGACTTCTACTGATCTTTAACTACAGCTAGAACGCAACACAACCAAGTATCGGTTTCTATTCAAGCTGGATACTGTCGACAGTAATAAAACAATTATTCAAATACACCACAAATAACAAAACAAGAAGCCCTTTTTTCTCTATCATTATAACTCCATCGATTACTCCAGTGATCGGTGAATACATCAATCATGCTACTCCTCCAGCCAGCCTTTGTGAGAAAGTAAGCATACGACTTTCCTTATCCAAGATTTGTCAGATTGTACCATATTCTTTCCTTCAATATGATACAATGAGTAACGTCAGTTTTGATTGGTTGTGTTTATTCAAAGAGCAGCCAGCGTTCTCTGACCGTCTAAAGAAATACATCAGCTGTGAGAACTTCCAATAACACAACAAGTCATTGCTTGTCTTTCTTCAAGGAGATCATGCACAAAGCTGCATTTAACTGAAAGCAACCACGTACACAATGTGCAACACTAGTTAGGGTTTAAGGAATGGGAATGTGAAAAAGCTGCATGTTTTCTCTGGTAATGCAAGGCACAGGTCACATGGGAATTCAGAGGAGTCAGCTAAATATATTAACTTTGAACACACAACAAGAGTTATGGAGAAGTAAACAAACTGCCTGTGTATTCCAGCTGGATGGCCAATTATGCAGTGACGGGCCGTCAGGGCCTGCAAGGCCTTCTCTGCTGGCCTAAACAGAATCACAAAGCTATATCTATTTTATAATTTTATATTTTTTCTTAAATACACTACATGTATTATAATTTATAAAAATATTTTTCCCATTACCTTATTTTCTCATTGCACAGCTGTCTTCCTCAGTTGCTCTGCTTCCATTGCAGCTTGTTTTAAGTAGAGCTTTTATCCAATCAGATTTCACCTCTGTGTCTCTAGGTAAGAAGAGAGGCCCGAGGCCTGCAGACTCACAAGTGAATCCATGTGCAGTTTAAGTGAATGGGGACGATATTGTTGATTGTCATAGTGTTCAACCAATCAGATCTTTAGTTTGACATGTTGGGCATATTCTTTAACGTATCAGAGCCTGCGCACCGGCCTATAATGACGTCAGCATTGCGTGCAGCTCAGTGTCCATGTGTAGCTTTGCCGCGAGGTACAGAGTGTGCTGTGATTGGTCAGTGGGCGAGCACGTGACTAGCGTGAAACGAAACTTAACAGCCAGCAGAGGCGGATGGGTAGTGAATCACATCACGTGATGCAGCTCAGCCAATCAAATATGGGCATTCTGACTGAGTGAGATGCGCCATGACACAGGGGGCTGAGACGAGGAAAGACACTGCAGAGCAGTACCTTCAACATTCAAGTTGTGAAAGTAAAAACCTATGATAATCTCTTTGGGTTGTGGTTTGTCATTAAGGAATGATGGCGGATCCCACAGCCAGACCAGCTGAGAACATTATGTTTTCCTGAATTTAGGCTTTTGCATTTTCTAAATGCTCTGGCATTATTCAAATGACTTGTACTGAACAGTTTAATACGAAGATGTACATAGTTACAGCCTTAAAAATGAATATCTGTGGCGCCATCGGTTATAAGGTGGTGTTTCAGCTGCAGGACAGCAGTGAAGGCCCAGGTATAAAATGCACGGCCTGCCACTGCAATTATGTATTCACAGTGCAAAGAACTAAAGCGGTACAAAAAAAGAACTTGGTTTGTTCCCCGGCACAACTTCCTGTCACTGGATTTCACATTTATACAAAGGTGGCAGTGACTTACAGAAAAAAGGAGAAGCGATGTTAAAATCGTCAAAGTCTTCATGGCAGCAAAGCATGCATACATTGTGCATTTTTATCAACAAATAGTAGAACTAGTAAATATTGCTGGTGAGTCACATTAGCCAAACGGAGAAAATAGCAGCTTGCAGCCCCTCTAAGGTAAGAGGGTGCCGTGTGTCTAACCCTGCCAGGATTCTGCAGGGGACAAGAGACTACCTGGATAGAAAATACATCTTCAAAAGCAAAAGACTTTAAGGAGTAACTTTGGAGATACTATGAGAAAACTGGTTCTTTAAACTCAGTTAAAGTCTCAGTTTAGCACTGATGCCTCTATATGACCTACACAAGTAAAGGAGACCATCAGAGAGAAGATCGTTTATTTGTGTGTGGTAATTGTTACTGCTTGTCATCTGTGCTACCGGGTCGGATTCCACTGAAATCAGAACTAATCTTACAGGTTCTCCAGAAACTCCGCTCAGCTAATCCTCCGGCAGTACCTACTCCCCCAGATCCAGCTCAGCCTGGCTGCTTCACAACCAGGACTGTGCAGCACAGTAAAATGCTGCAGGTTTTCTGGAGGGAATGTGCAGTAAAAATCAGTGGTTATAACTGCCTTTCATAAACAAAAACCTGCAACCGTTTCTGTCCTGAAGGCCTGGTTGTGTTTGCTCCGATAACAGTTGTTATCTCACGATGAGCCACCAGCTGAACAATGAGGGGGGTGAAAAAAGGGTCTCCCCATCCAGACTTCATCACCATAAAAGCACCTTAGTTGACTCTGCAAAGTTACTACTTTTGATGTGTTCATCAACTTTTTGCACTTTTCGAGTTGAAATACATCCAACTGGGTTTCTTCTCCTCTCACATCTCCTCTGAGTGCTCTGTGTCCTCTCACATCTCCTCTGAGCGCTCTGTGTCCTCTCACATCTCCTCTGAGCGCTCTGTGTCCTCTCACATCTCCTCTGAGCGCTCTGTGTCCTCTCACATCTCCTCTGAGCACTCTGTGATATCAAACTGTAAAGGAGAAGTACACATGAAAGGCAAAGGAACTGTGGATTTGAAATGACAGTAAAAAAGTTTAGTATTCCAAAATAAAAAGCAAGGATGTCTTTTTGCCCTCCAGTATTTTGACTGATTTCATGTTTTTGAGCTTACAGTAAGTGCGTGTGTATGCATATTTATTATGTTCAGAACTAAAGAACAGCTCTCATTGTGAGTTGTTTGAATTCAGTTTGATTTTGGCCATGTCACGACACAAGGGGAGCAATGAACTAACCACTCAGACAGATATTACACATGTTCATGTGATATGAACTGAACCTCCAGCACCAGCAGCTGGATCATTTGGCCAGAACACAGTCTTAGTTTTGGTTGGATTTAACCAGTAATTACTATTTTTCACACTGTCTAGAGTGCAATAAAAAGTGATTACTGAGCGCAGTGACACGAAAAGGCATCGACTGAACAAGTCATACAGGGGGAGACAATATATGCATTATAACAAGAGCATCAAGACTTCCTCATGCAACAACTCATCCCAGTCAGCAAGTCAAACTGGTATCCAGAGGATGGGTGTGCGTGAACCGGCATAGAGCCCCAAACCATGCCAGCGTGCAGCTGTCACAGTGAAATGGGATTCCTCCAAATCAAACGAACTGTGATTACACCTCCCACCTGTAAAAGAACTGAAATAAATAAAAACACTTAAGCTCAGGGAGTATGGTGGACTTAACGCTGAGTGACAACACAAAGCAACAATAAACTGGCGGACGCATCCATTCCCTCATCACCTTCAACACCGCTAGCAAACATAAGACGACTCAGCCTGTTCCTTTGCAGGTGTAGAGTGTCGCAGCTTTGGGACAAACCCATGTGTCATGGCTCTTTGTCAATATTTGTGTGTGTGTCAGTGTGGTGCAGCTCAGTCAACAGCTTATGCCATAAGTGAAGAAACAAACTACTTCCAAATCTTGTATACACTTAACACAACTGCTGTTAATGTCGATGCAAGATGCAAAAAGATGTTAAAGTGACTTGACCACAAGGAGCTAGAAGACCCTTGACCATTATTTTACCGATATCAAATAATAATAATCTTATATTAACCAGAAAAATGCCTTACTGAGATTAAAACTATCTTTTAGAATTCATCATGATCCTGGCTAATAGAACAGCAGCGTATCTCATTTATCACCCGTCTGAATGCTGTGTCAGGTATGAAAATACCTGAATGCTCATTTCGCTCTGCTTCTATCAAGCTTGAGAACAGCAGAGGAAACATTTGCATGTCTGCTGCTGCGCTGATATCTGAAATGTCAGAGGTTAAGCCCTTGTTCAGGCGAGAAGTTGATTACTAAGCATTAGCATGACTACACATGCACCTGTCTCTTCTCTGGAGCATAGAGTGTTGGCTGGACCGTTCCCTTCTCACAGAGAGGTGCAATTTATATGAATGCTGCTTCTGGATGATGCTGTGAAATGACATATGCCCAAGGGAAGACGTGTGAGAAATATATGTAGTTAGATCTTCTCTGCCAGAGATGATTGAGACCAGCGTCCACAGGCAGAGCATGGCTGTGAGTTTCACTTCATTGTTTAACTGTCCAGGTACAACTTTACTGTTTTGGTTCACTCATCCAGCTGTTTTCAGAGAAGTCGCTCTAAAAAGCCACTGAATGCTAAATGCTCAGACACAAGCGTATCCTCATACAACGTATGATATCTTACAAAGAGCTACTTCTCATTTTTCTTGTGTTTTCCTATGAAAGTCCAGCAACACATAAATTTTTGCTCGTTTCATGATTACATTCTTTTCAAAATCAACTTCTGTTAGATTTCGGCAACAAAACTGCTGAGTAGGTTTAGGAATAGATCGTTGTTTGGGTTAAAATAACCACAGAAGTGCTGTTACTGCGTAACACAAGTTATGTGAAAAATACATCAACGTTGACTTCTCGTTTCATGTGGGGAACAAACAGCGGTCTCCTGGCTGAAAGGCCGCTGGTTGTTGGACTCGTACACCGAGTGTGTCTCCAGCCTGTGTGTGCTTTTGCAGTCTTTATACTTCCTGGTTCTTGATTACGTGAATAACATACAAAATAATCTATGAAATACGGCACATTGTTTTTCGTAGGTATACCTACGAATTCTGTATGAGAACAGCTTGCTCCAGCTGGTGAACATAAAGGAGCATTTAGCAGCTCAAGAGACAGATGTTTCTCTCAGGAGTAGGTAGAAACCAAAAGCAGAGCTACAAGAGGGGGAATATCGGGTGTTGACATGTCCAAAGAAGTTGGGCGGCGCCCAGTAAAAGCATGGATTCCCCCGGAGAACAAGCACCAGCTAAAAAATATCGCCCATGATCCTCCAAAGTATTTGAGACAGAGATCCAACAATGCAGTGCTCTGTAAACTCTGGACATTGGACTGCTATGTACGAGCTCTTGAAGCCAAAGCATCCCGGAATGATTTGTCAAGAAGGCAGCGGCAGCAAGACAGCACCGTGTCCCGTTTACTTTTTGTCACAACTAAAACATGATATTTTAGGATTATCAACACACAGAACTTGTTTCTGTTAGTAGTAATCATTTATTATTGATTTTCTAAATGTTTAATCATCGCCTCCATGTGAGGAGTAATTTTGGCACCTCTGCTGCTGGCCCAACAAATCTGTTTTTGCAGGATTGAGAGATGCCGATACTTTACGCCTTTCCTTGAAAATGTCAACAGCAAGTAAATGTTTAATATATGGAATAAAGAATAAAGTATTAGCATGAGCAGTAATGCCACCATGGCAGACAAAGACCAGCACCTCCAGAAGCTCAACCTTTATCAACAGAAAGTCCAAAGAATAAACTGAATCTCACAGTAGAGGGAAGTAGAGGTAATTGGTTAGTTTAGTTCATGCAGAGTGCATGAATCTATACAGTATATAGATTCATACACTATGCATGAACTAAACTAACCAATTACTGATCACATATCAGCCTACCTAACAATAAGTAGTGAGTGAGTGAGACATTATTTTTGCCTGTGTATGGATGCCTATCTGCATGAGTCATCCCAAGGGTTTCTGCATAGCAGTGATCAAAGGCAGACTGGGAGTCAGACTGTAGGCTGGCTACAAAAGGAAGCTCGATGGGGGGAAAGCAATGATCCTGCTGTCTGTTGACTCTGTGTGTCGTCAGCATACAAAGGTAGATGTTTAGACTTCACCCACATATCTGTCGCCAGATATGAAGCACAGACTTCCTCCTCCCCACCTCGTGTTAACATGTGTCCTGAATAATGACACTGATGTTGTATAGAGCACACATACAGTATAATACCTGGTCGCACAAAGCATCTTCAAAGGGGCCCTCCAGGGATTCATTAAGTCGGGACACTACTGAGAGATTTGCTTTTTAATGATCAAAATCAGTTTCTGTGTACGAACTGGATCTACAGTACTTACATTTTCATTTGAAAACGTCCTGAAGTCAGTTCCTCACCGTACTGTAAGTGATAGTGTAAGATATGGAATGAATCAGTCCAACACATTCTGGGTTTTCCTCATAACTTTAGTCAAGACTCCACTGAACCGGACAAAATCAAATCACACTCTCCCGCTACTCTTCTTCTCCCGTCACTCCATCCCCATCACATCAAGCTACTGTTGCCAACTATTTTTCCGGGGAAGTTGCTAGAGGCAGGTCGATTAGTTGCTAAAAGTTGCTAAATGACGTTGTGACATCATTACGTGATGACGTCATTACGTAATAACGTAAAACTGCGCAATTACGTAGACTACACAATAACGTTACTCAAATTGACTGTCCATCTCGACAAATAATATGATTTGACATCTGTTAATTAAGATTTTTTGTTTATTATCACATTTTTATTTGTAGAAGTAATTTAAACACAACACATTTTATATGATCAGATATTTTTAAACACAACACATTGAATTATTGAACAATTACACATTATTGACCAATTACTTTTTTTCTTTTCTTATTAACTTGTAAACCTACACATTCTGAACAATTTATGCAGTGTACTGGTAGTTAGTTAACATGCAACCAAACTGATCAATAATTATAGGTACAAGCTAATGACAAGGTACCGTATATATGATATCTTATTGAGCAAGCAACTTAACTCAAATAATGATGTGTGCACTGGGCATCTCTTTCCAGCTGTCTCCAGGCTGTTGTGCTGCTTGGCTGGCTAGCTGCTCAATGGTTTCCTCCAGATATTGCCACTGTTCTCGCTCACATGGCAGTGCACACTGCCACCATCAGCTGTGTGTCTCCGCCAGTTCCAGAAAGTCCACTCCTTGCATACATACTGTAAATATGATGAATCAAAAAGTGGAAAAGAAAACCTCTTCATCTTCACTGTCCAACTGCATTGTCACGGAGCTGGAACCAGCAGAAGAGGATGGAGTGACCTTAAAGCCGTATGCTGTTTTGGTGCCAAACTGCTCCAGAACTTCACTTGGTAGTTTGTGCTGGTAACAGGTATCTCCAGCCAGCTTCAGTCCATACCGCACCAGGAGTATGGAGTTGAGAGTGTGCAGTAACATCCTATTTCTCAGCTTTGACTTGACCACACTCATTTGGCTGAACAGCCGTTCAACCTCCGCATTTGAGTGTGGCAAGGAGAGGGCAGCGAGTGCAGCTTTGCACAGTTCTTCAAATGGATTTGACCCGGAAGTGTCCCTGTAGTGTTTCACTTCACTCCAAAACTCAACTGTATTTTCAGTTGAGTCCCACCTAAACAGATGGATGATTCTCCATTGGGAAACAATTTTGTCAATTGTTTGGGGATGGTACCCCAGTAGCTCAGCTACTTTAATAATTTCAGTGGTGCCTTTATTGTGGTTTAGCGTGTCCTTAACACTGAACAAGGCCATGTTTCGCAAGGCTTCTAGGTTGTCTGGGAGCCTTCCTTGCAGCTCCTTGCTTAAAGCAACAATGTAGTTGATGCACCATCTACGAATGACCTTTTCGTCGTCTGGCGCAAGACTGAGTCGGGACACTGTGCTCTCGAAAAGGTACCCAAGGTATGGTGATGGACTGAGATGTCCATCAATGGCATCCTTCAGGACATCAATTTTTGCCATAGGGTGGACTACTCTGCTGCAAATTGATGTTAAGAGGTGTACCAGATTGTCCAAA